CTGGGATTACAGGCGTGCGCCACCACGCCCGGCTACCACTAGCTCTTCAACACCCTTTTTCCTTAGGCTCTTCTTCCTCTCACCCTGCTAATCACCCTCCCTGTCCTGCCCCTAGCCGATCCGGAAAGGCCAACGGGACCTGTATTCTGGCCTGAATCAGAGAGGAGTCTGACAGCACCAGAGGACAATGCCCAGGCCTGGCTCTCCTGGGGCATCCTGCTAGTCTTTGTTCCCTGGACAAGGCTTGGAGCCCACGAAGGAATTGTTCTTCAGCCTCACGGTGAATTCACATCCTCCAGCCATGTGCCATGCTCGCCTCTTCTCGTCATCCCTGCTGGTGTCTAGTTGGAGGCTACTGCTGCTTTGCTGTCCTTTGAAGCAGCACAGCTAGGCAGGCCCTAACACCCCGCCTGCCCTCCTGTCAGTGTATTTACTTCTATTATTCACTCTCTGCTGACTTTCTTCCCCCTGCATGGATGTTATTTCTGCCTTCAGTTCCCTCCTTGTCCTCTACATAAGCCCCGCCTTGTCCCTAACAACCCCATACAACTTTCTATTTTTTCCGGCTCTCTCTTGTGCCAACCTTCTGTGGGGATGGACTGGGTAAATGTTAGCAGAGGCCCTGACCCATTCGCAGATCCTGGTAGATCCCAGCCCCCTCCCTGCTCTTCGCTGTAGGCCACTGGATGGTCATTTGCATCTCAGTGAATGCGCCAGACTCTCTCCCACCAACAGAGAAAAGCAATAAAGTGTACTTGGCTGAAAGAGTTGCTGTCTCTTCCCTGGGAGGTTCTCAGAGGCCACCTATTTCCTAAGACAACTCAGGTTCTTCCCACCTTTAAAGGAAATCAGTGCTTGCAGTATGATCCCAAGGTGCAAGTACGGCCTGTTTTCCCAACCGGTGGGGACGTTACCTGAAGGTCTCCTTGGAGAGAGAAATAGGAAAGAGAGAGAGAGGAAATTTAACTAACTCTTCTTGCAAGAAAATATCAAAGAGTCAGGGAGTGACTGATAGGTCCCTGATGGAGCTGTCAGTTCGTAAAATTGGCGAGACAGAAGCAGAGCCCATGAAAGGCAGAAAGAGGTAACAAAGAGAGGGGTGACAAGGAGGAGGTGTGAGGGAGGCTTTGGGAATGGGACACAGGTTTCCACAAGGTGCCAGGAAGAGTCACTGAGCAGGGCTGGAGGAAGGGGAGGAAGGAGGTCTCCCAAGCAGGCCGCCCCTCCCTCCCACGCAGGAGGCAGCTGTGCAGCACAGCAGGCTGTGGTGAGGCCGTGCAGGATGTGGGCTGTGCAGGCAGTGAGCGCGCAGCGGCAGCCTGGTGCCTAAAGGCCAGTGTGGGAAGGCCTCGCTCTCTGTCTCCCACAGCGCGCACTTAGCTTGCAAGAGGAGCGCAGAATAGCAAGGCGCTGTCTCAGCCTAGCTCCCACCAGCTGGCTCTCTTCTCTCCCTCTCTGCACTCAGAAACCTCCTGTTGACCACAAGGCTATTTTTGTGTATGACCACAACGAAAAAGGCCTCTTTTGATGAGTAGCCCTTCATGTACTGTACACGTTCAGCCTTGGCCCTGGGGCTACAGCTTTGTACCCGTCATTCCTGTTGAAATGTCACTTCGAAGTACCAACTCTTTTGCTCAAAAGGAGTCTCAGTGATGCTGCTCATCACCAGGTTGGAGGCTGGCCTAAGGGTGGCAATTGTGTCCTACGTGTATTTCATTGTGCTCAGATGGGCAAGACATGGCTCAGCAAGATAAAAACAAGAGCCACTAACGTTTATGGAGCATTTACTATGCTCTGGAACCTGTGCTTAGCCCTTTACATGTATCATCTCATTTCATCTTTACGACAACTCCACAAGATCGATGTTATCATCCTCACTTTGCACATGAAGATAGTGAGGCTGAGAGAGGTTGAGTCTTTTGCACAAGTCACAGTGAGGGACCTGGCTGAAAGTAGCAGCCAAAGTTTATCCAACATATTTTTTTCACATCTACCCAGTATCAGGGCCCAGGATATAGCTCAGTGCCACAAGTGCCAGACCTGGCACAAGTGCAAGGTCCTGAGTTTGATTCCCAGTACAAAAAAAAAAGATTTATTCAAAAAGCTGGGCATGGTGGCTCATACCTGTAATCCCAGCACTCAGGAGGCTGAGGCAGGAGGATCTCTATGAGTTCAAGGACAGCCTGGGCTACAAAGTGAGTTCGAGGCCAGCCTGAAGTGCATATTGAAACCTTATCTCAAAAAGACAAAAAAAAAAATCTACCCAGTGCTGATTGTGGTCATAAGGAATGCTTTCCATCCTATCTAATGTCCTTGGGAAGATGGAGGGAGGGCAGAAGTGAAGTTGAAAGCCTGAGTAGATGTCCTCCTTTGGGCAGAGGTGGTGTAATGCCGGATAAAGGCAAATGCTGAAGCAAGGAAGATAAGCAGAGTGCAGGGCTGTAGGTTATAGATGGGATGAGAGGATAGGAGGGATCCACACCATATAAGGACCACAGAATTGCACTGAGATGCAGGGTGGAGGTGGGACACAGTGGAAAAGAGGAAAGCAGAATAAAGGAAAAGATTAAATGGATGGAAGAAAACAATGATTTCTGCCACTGGCCAAGATGGAGTAACAAGAATTGAATCTGTCCTCCTGTCTGAAAAAACTAAAACATGAGACAAGATAGGTTAAAACAAATTCTAAAACATTCAATACCAGGCAACAATGAGAGATGACCCCTAAGGATGGGAAATAAGATGAACCCTAATATTGCTTCAGCTTACAACCTAGAAACAGTTTCTAGGCCGTGGTGCAGGAAGGGAGAACTAAGCAGAGCCCCAAGATCACCCTGAGGTCAGCAGACAAGGATGGAGACCAAAGCCTCTACAGTCTGTAGGAGAAAGTTCAAGAGAGGAGTGAGATGCCCAGGGAGAACTCCAGAGATCTGAAAAGGGTCCCTCTCAAGTCCTCAGCTTACCTCAGGGCATAAACCTAGGTCCCGCGAACCCATCCCTTACTTTTCTACTGCAAATTTGTACGTTAGCATTACAGTTGTGGCTGTGCATCTCAGGGATACAGGAAGTAATCTATGTGTTTATCCACCTGGTATGATGAACACAAGAAGTGTGCCTGTGTGCAAAAGTGGCAAAATGGGACTTGGATCCATTCTTATGATCCATGTAAGTGGTTTTGCATATGTTTACCTGAGCATCACAGAGGGTCCCATAGACCCACACCACCCCAAGATTTTGTTTTTGGGTTTTTTTGGGGGGGATTTTGGTACCAGGAATTGAACTCATAACCTCACACTTGCTAGAAAGGCACTGTGCTGTTGAGCTATATCCCCGGCCCCAGAATTTTGTTTAAAAAAAGTTTTCTTCTGATCTTTCTGGCAAGGAACCCCCACTCAGTACAATGGAACATGAAAACCAGATTTGCAAGTTTCAGAGGAGATCAAAAGTAAATCCTCAGTTCACTCATGCATGAATGATCAAGATGATTCATTTTGGTAAAATCCATGGTTTCATAGCAGAAGAGTGCTGGGGGGTGGATAATGATGATGATGATGACTTTGACGCTGGCCATGTGAGCCAAAGTTCCTGTGACAGTGAACTGGAGTAAGAATCGATTGATACAGACAGAGGGAATGCAGACCTCCTTGATTCAGATGACAAAGAAAACAGCAATGTGAGTATATATTTGACTATCAAAATGTTGAGAAATGGCCATGCAACCAAATTGAACGATTCAATGTTAGAACTAGTTCCAAAAATATAGTGAAGGTCTTGGCAGGGGTGAAAAATACTGGACAGTATGCCAGCACTGCCATTCATTGTTGGAAACTGTAATAGATGAAATGCGGTAAGATGCTGTGAAATACACAAAAGCTGAAATACAAGTAAAATGCTCAGTATGCACCAAAAGCCACATTAAAAAATATACTTATTATGACACTTCACTAGTTGAACTAAAAGCATTCATAAATCTGCTGCTGTACTTAGCACAAATCTCTTATGGTGATCGTAAGAATGTAAAAGATGTAAGGAAAAGCAATGGGTCAAAATATGGCAAAAAAAAGTTATGCCCTTGTAGATGAGAAGACTTACTATGCTTTCAGTTTAGACATTTATCCTGGAACTCAGCCATCATGTCCTTATTCCTATATTAATAAACTGAAGGATGCTGTGAACAGACTTGTTGATCCCATCTCCCTAACTAAGGGGAATGTGACATTCAACAGGTGGTTTACCGGTTTCCAACTGATGTTACATTTGCTAACAGAGCACAAGTTGACCAGCAGAGGAACTGTACACAAGAACAAAGCAGAAATTCCACATAAAATGTTGCAGTGGTGTAGTACAATCTTTGGATTTCAGAAAGATATAACACTGCCCTCATATATGGCAAAGAAAAGCAAACTGGTACTGCTGATGTCAACATTTCACCATGATGGAAATATTGATAGGGAAACCTCAACAAGACGGAAGCTTGAGATGGAAACTTTCAACAATAAAACCAAAGGTGGAGTAGATGTTTTGGATGAGTTATGCAGCAACTATGATGTCACTTGAAACACAAAGCACTGGCCAATGGTTGTATTTCACTTGATCCTAAACATGTGTGGCATAAATAGTTTGATAGTTTACAAAGAAAATAACAAGTCAAAAATATCACAGAGAAAATTGGGACTGGGGTACATAAGAGATTATTTATAGCAGAGGAAAAACAAAATGTTTCTGTCCAGGGAACTATGGAAAAAAAATTACGGAGCTCCCTGGTGAGCTGACAGGTGAACAGCCGGTTACAGCATCACAAAGACCTACTACAACAACCAGAAAACAAAGATTTCAGCTGTGCCCTACAAGAAGGTATAGGCCTCAGTTTATCATGCAGAAGGCAGGGGCAAGGCAGGAACAGGTCCTGGGGAAGGAAGATAAAGTGATACCTTCCATAAAGGGAAAGGAGAGCTTCCTATCTCCCAGCACCTGTTCAATAGGGGACATAAAGTCACAGCCAGCCCTTTAGCAGCAGTGAGAATTTGTAGCACACATCCTCAGAGCTGTGGTAAGAAATGAGTTGCTGAGCCCCTTGATGTCTCCGCCACCCCCACTCATGACATCATGGAAACTTCTCTGTGGCGAGGCTCCTAAACACAACAACATGCCCTGGGAAGGCTTGTGATAGGAGACTAGAGTCACAAGTACCAGAGGGAGTGCAGAGGGGAGATGTCACCCAGGAAGCCCACCGGGCTAGAGACACCAGTGGGCCAGGACATGGTGGGAGACAGCCTATTACACTGTCAGTGTGGGGCAAAAGGGAGGAGATGAATGAAGGACTTAGGTGGGCAAGGTCCCAGCCACCTCAGGGTAGCTCCTACACCCTGCCCAAGAGCCTTGAGAAACACAGGCACCAGCTGAATGGAAGAGATCATCTTTATTGGTCAAGCAAGGAGGGTTGGCACAGTTCAGGATGTGCTTCTAGAAGCCACCAGCCTTGGGGTCATTTGCTCCGATGCCACTTTTCTCCAAGGCGGCTGTACTGAGCATCCTCATGATCTCGGAGGGGCTGAGAGATGAGAAACGAGGCAGTGAGTCAGGTCAGAACTCTCCCGGGAAGAGTTCCAGCAGGTCCTGGGGACAACGGCTCGTGCCCGCCCTCTCCAGCAATGAATTCCTCACTAACGCTGCACACACGCTTCACTCAGCCTCTCCATCCCCACTCCTCCTCCCGTTCCTGCCTCTTCCCTGCACGCTCACCTGATAAAGCTCATCATTCTTCAATAGAGCTTGAGTGTCAGCAGCTGAAAGAGCCAGGAAAGAGCATTACTAGTGGGTAGGGAAGAAGGGGCAGTGAGACTCACAAACATTGCAGCGGGCCGTGCCCTCCACCCCTCAGAATTCTGCATGCACAGTATGGGTACACGAGTGCTTTCCATGCACTGTGGTAGGAGTCCATAGACATTGCAAGAGTGACTCCGAGATGAGACCATTCAGCTGGTACAGGAGCTCAGTGGTACACATGCACACACATGCACACGCACACACACATGTTCTGCTCTTCCACTAACCCCCAGAGAGCCTTCCAGTCTCGTGTCCTGCAAAGCAGTAGACTCCCAAAGCAAGGAGCAGGGTGGCAATGATGTCAGTGACAACGATGCCAGCAAGGGTGGCGGAGTCCAGTTCTACACAGTTCTGGCACACTGTGGAGAAAAAAAGGAGAGGGGAGGGCTAGATACCTTTCAACTTTTTTGTGTGTGTGTACCAGGAATTGAACTCAGGACCTTGCGCTTGTCAGGCAGGCACTTATGTCACTGAGCTACATCCCCAGCCCTAGATAGCTTTCAAGATCAGGGAATGACCACGCCTGTTGGCGCTGCCCTAGGATCTCTCATGACAAGACCCAAACTTCAGTAAGATGCAGAGAAAAATGTTGCTGGTGGCCTTGCCCCTGCCATCTCGTTATCCTCATCCCAAGGGATTCCTGAAGAGAAATCAGGAAGTCCTCTCAACTAGGGCGACCTCAAACTAGACCCCAACCAAGCCTGCAGGCACAAGGCCTCTACTGCTCAGCCTGGCTTAGCTAAGCACTTGCTCCCACTCTGCAGCCCCCTAAATCTGGCTGATACCATTGCAAAAGTGACCTTAGTTTGTTTAGAGAATAGGCTGGTTCACCATATCCCCTTCCAACCAAAAAGTTCTCACATCCAGAGGCCCCGCCATAGGATTCAGGAGGCACATACTTCGATAATATACTTGCACAGTAGATTCTTTGTTGGCATTGTCATCTGTCCCCCGACACTTATACAATCCTCGTGGATCCAGGAGGCGTTTGCCCAAGTCCCGACTGTTTGTTCTTTCTGTCCCTACCGTTCCATCTAGCCATGTGACACTGGTATTGCAATTCACAAACACTTTGTCCTCATATTCATCCACAGGTATCTTGAAGGGCTTCACTAAGGGAAAGAAATACCACAGTCAGAGACAGCTGGTGGTCTGCACTACCCTCCTTGTTCCACTGAGGACTACCACGGCAGTCTACAACAGGTTGGTTTCTAGTGAGAAGGGCAGAGGTGACAAAAGAAAGTTTCCAGAAGTTCCCTATGAACCACAGAGGCCAGGAAGGACATGAGGCTGCAGTCAAAGTGAAGACAGGTCCTAAGGGACTTGGGATAAAAGAGAAAACTGTGAAGCTGACTTGATCCAAGAACCTTCCTAAAAATGAGTTCAGACCACTGGTTAGAAGTAAAAGGGGAAGCCAGGCATAGTGGTGCATGCCTGTAATCCCAGCACTTGAGAAGCCGAGACAGGAGGATTACAGTGAGTTCTGGGCTACATAGTGAGTTCAAGGCCAGCCTGACTGCATAGTGAGACCCTGTCTCAAAAAAAAGTAAAAAATAAAAACTATAAGTAGAAGGGGAGCATAGACTGCTGAAGCCTCCCATAAGACAAGGAAAGGCAGGAGACTGTTGCTAGGTTGGAGATGTCCAGATTTTTCTGCTAGAAAGCAGCTAATTCTACTTCCCACCTTACCACAACACTCTCCCTTCACCTTCTGGTTCTCTCCTCTTCCTGTTGCTTCTCTCTGACATCTAACAAAGGGATGGGACACTTAATACTGAAGGGTCAACAGTGACTGAGGCAGGAAGGAACTGGTATAACTCCCGACCCACAGGTCCAGATTTACCAGGGCAAATCTCATGCAAAGATTTCCAGTTGCTCTACACTTGGTTAAGGAAAGAAAGGCAGAAAAAAATGTTCATCAAACCCGTTCTTGAAGTTGCATGCACAAGTAAAGCCTTAGGGGAACTGTAAGGGCTAGAGTTGAGAATAACGCTTTTCTAGACCCACTGAATTTCTCTGACAGCCCACAGAGGCACTGGCATCCATACTGCTCATCCCAGGAAAGAGTAGAATCTACATTCACCTTGAGCTTCATATGCAGCACCAATGTCGACACAAAAGAATCCTCTAGAAAACTGCAAAATAGCTGCTTCTCATGCCTCTGAGTCAGGGCAGGAGTCTATGCATGTACAGTCAGGGAGACACACATACATCAACTGCTTCACTTTTTATACTCATCCTTAGAGTTGTTTCCAGTGACTATCTTGTGGGTCCCAGTGCAACTATTAGGGTAACCATTTAACCCAGTTTGCCTGAGACTGAAGAGGTTCCTGGGGCTGGGATTTTCCAGAGAGGATTGCTTTTTTTGTTTTTGTCTTTTTTGAGACAGGGTCTCACTATGCAGTTCAGTGTGGCCTTGAGCTCACTTTGTAGCCCAGGCTGGTCTCGAACTCACAACAATCCTCCTGCCTCAGCCTCCCGAGTGCTGGGATTGCAGGTGTGCGCCACCACACCAGGCTTCCAGAGAGTTCTGTTTTCTTTTTTTCAGTGTTCAGCCAATGAGCTATGTTCCCAGACCAGTTTTCAGTTTTTTCTTTTTTTTTGGACAGGGTCTCACTATGTTGCCTAGACAAGTCTCAAACTGCCTCGAGTCTTTCAAGTAACTGCAATTTTCAGTTTTAAAACCAGGCAAAGTACTGGGTTTAAAAAAAAAAAAAAAAAAAAAAGCAGGCTAACTGTGATGAGTTGGCATTCTACTGAATATGCAACCATTCTCTACCCCACCCCCAAATCTACCTTTCCTCATAAAGTATTCCCTTCAGTGCTCACATAATGGTGGTCACATAATGGTGGCCAAATGAACAACAGTCCAGACCCCAGAAGAAATCTGCTGTAGAAGCAATGAATATAGCTCTGCTCCCTCCTAGCCCGAGGCTCATCTGTACACATACTGCACCAGTTCCCACAGACCTCTGGCCAAAGGCCATCCGAAAGACATTCAAGGACAGTTCATGCCCTGACCAAAGTAGGTGAAAGCCAAGCCCCTGTTTCCTCCATCACAGTCCTGCCCGGAGTGGTCGGTGCATTGAAGTTAGCTTTGTGAATCACCTTTAGGTGGACCTCGCGCCCGGTGCTCATGTCCCTCTTGGGTCCTTTCCTCCACCTGGAGAAGCCTTACTTACCTTGAGGAAGAAGGGCAGCCAGGAACAAGCCAGTCAGAAGCCAGTTATGTTTCATCTTTCAGCAGAATTTGTCCAGTAGACAGAGCGAGATCACGGAACTACCGGCCGGGGTGAGGACTACCCTCCTCCAACTGACTCATGGGTATGCGGAAAAAGTGAAGAGTTGCAGAGGAGCTAGAAGATGTCTGACTCTCTGCCTTTCATGATGAAAGGCCGTCAAGGGAGGAATAGCAAGAGGTAGGGTAGGAAGGAAACAGGTGCAAATTGTTCTTTCTCTGAGCAGACAGGTTGGGGGTGGGGCTGAAGGCAGAGAACATGGAGAAAACTGCCTAGACTTTCAGGAGGTAGAAGGAGTCTTGGGACAGTCTTTCCTGAGTCACTAATGAAAAATGAGAACTTCAGAGTCCCTGTTGGCAATATAACTACATTGACCTCTCACTTAAAAACTGCTCTCTCTCAAAGCCCCCAAGAGAAGCTCTGAGCCCCAAGGCACAAGCCATTTCAGCTAGGTTCCTCCTACTGCTGGTCTCTCTTGGGACCCGTCGCTGGGCAGCCTGGACACCAGATGAAGCAGCTCCTAGCCAGGGGGGAGTTGGACTTTAGAGCCACACACACCAGAAATTTGAATCCCGGCTCCACTACTTGGTACCCACAGGGTCAGTCAAAGAATTTTTCTGAGCCTGATTCTTGGAGTATCATTATAAGGATTTTAAAAAGTCTAGAGGCTGCCTGCCACATAAATATGATTACTATGAAGTAGTTTTTAATAATAATAATAATATAATGGACTCAAGGTGAATTTGAACCTCCCCAAAAGGCTATGGACCTCCCTCGCCACACCATGACCAAAGGGAACCTGATACTCCACGCTGCCCCAGTGGGATGTCATGTACCTGAGGACAAAGCCGTGCCAGTCTTGCTTCCTGGTGTAGCTTATGCCCAGCATATAATGAGAATTGTGTGATTTAGTGATTTATTAACTGGCTAAGGGAGACAGGGATCTGAGAGCCTGGAAACTCAGTGCAGGCCCTGCCTACCCACCCCGACCCCTGACTGGAGAAATGTGCTGACTGTCTGGTTGGAACTGTCCCACTTACTGCCTTCCAGGCAAGCACCACTCTGATGATCTCAAAAGAACAATGACAAAAGCCTTTAATGAAGGCTGGGGCTGAGGTGCTTTTCCATCTGCAGCCTCAGCCCCAACCACCTGAGCATCCAGCCTAAATTCATTAGTTCTAGCATCAAGGACAACCGGCTGTGATCCCAGCAACAACCGGGGGTGGGGACATTTATCTTCTTCCTTCGGAAGAGGGCTCAGGCTCATCCCCCAACCCAGCATTTGAAGTGGTTCTCGAGTCAAGCCTAGTCTCTGCGTGGGAATCCAGCCCTCCCTCCTGCACCCTGCACCCTTCAACGGAAAAGCAAAAGGCATGCACACCTGCAGCCCTGCTGAGGCCCCTGCAGGCCACACTCAAAGCGAGGGTGGAGGCAGTGTGTTCCTGCCTTCTCTCAGGGGCCCAGCCTTAGGGTGCTGGGCGGAGCCGGGCTAGGTGCTGCGCAGGATGCTGGCCAGGAGGGGCTGCTCTGCAGTTCTGCTTGGGAAGGACAGAGACTGACATGGAGCAGGGGAAGGGCCTGGCAGGCCTTATCCTGATGGTCATTCTTCTCCACGGTAAGAATTTGCTATGGGGTCCGGCAGCCTGAGGAAGGGAGTATGGGAAGAGGTCATCTCCCGGAAGATGGGGATATTGGAATTCTAACCTTGAACAACCTCAGCTATCACCTTAGAATTCAAAGGGGAGGCAAAAATTAAGCTTTTTACAGTTCTATGCTGGAGGGAAGCAGAGCCCAAAGGAGAGATAAAGTCTTTTTCTCTGAGAAATCAAAACAGAGACCTTAACTAGCTAGAGAAAGGCCCTGCTGCCGCCATTTTAGGCTTAAACATAGCCCCAGATGGCCCAGGCAGAGAAACGGAAAGGAAAAGGTATGCGTTCTCGGAGGCAGAGCTAGAGTTAACAGTACTAGTCACTCACTTAGTTGATCAGTTGGTCAGCTGATCAAAAGTATTGATGAGATCCCAATATCCAGAAGGATAAAAAGACGAATGAAAAGTCTTTGCTGTGCGAGCTCATAGTCTAATTGAAGAGTCAGGTTCCAGTGTGGCCACACTGAGCACAAGGTACGGTGTGAGGTGCTCGTGCAAATGTCCAGTTCAAAATATCCAACAGGAAGTGGATGAATGAACTAAGATTGACACCTGTTCTCTGGAAGCATTGGGGGAAGCTAGAACCATAACTGTTCTTGAAATAACACAAGCGCTACGTGATATGTGAGGAAGACAGGGCTGAGGAGAGAACTGTAAGATGGCGCATTTTAGAGAAAAAAGTTTCAGAGATAAAAGAATGATCAAAGAGCTATAATAGCCGGGCGTGGTGGCGCATGCCTGTAATCCCAGCACTCGGGAGACTGAGGTAGGAGGATCGTTGCGAATTCGAGGCCAGCCTGAGCTACAAAGTGAGCTCAAGGCCAGCCTCAACTGCATAGCAAGACCCTGTCTCAAAAAGACCAAAAAAAAAGAACTATAATAATCACATGAATGATTATGGAAACCAAGGAAGGAGAAAGCTTCTGGGAGGGAATTACCAAGAGCCTGAAAGTTAAAGAGGGCCCACTAATATAAGAATAGAATTAAAATTTGCTTGTGGAATTTGGCAAAATAAACGTTATGGTTGATTTGGAAGCATTTTGGTTGGGCAGTGTGAGTGGAAGTCAGATGGAGGAGTAGAAGATAAAGAGTGAGTGATAAAAAGCAGCTAGTATGGGAGGCTGAGGCAGGAGGATTGCAGCGAGTTCAAGACCAGCTTGGGCTACAATATGAGCTCAAGGCCAGCCTGAACTGCATAGCAAGAACCTGTCTCAAAAAGACAAAAAAAAAAAAAAAAAAAAGCAGCAAGTATAGATTGTTCCAGAAAGAATTTTGGAGTCATAGGTAGAGGAAGAAGTTGAGTCTAAGACATTTTTTGGAGGAGAAGAGAAACTTGAGCACATTCCTGTCTGAAGGAGAAGACCATGAGTGGAGCAAGGCCTGGAACTGACGTTGGAAGGACAGAGCTGAGAGTGGCCTCAAGGGCAAGAGGGGAAGACGATGTCATCTCTGACCACCAGAAAGAAAGGGCAGCCAACCCCAGCCATAGCTAGGCTGTAAACAAAAAGGAAGCTGCAGAAGATAGGGCCATAACAACACTTGGTCCTCAAAGAATTAGGCAGGAGGCAGTGTCACCCGCTGAGACAGAGCCGGGAAATGGCTGAGTGGAAGACTGGAAGAAGCCAGAGGAGTGTAGAATTATTTCTGAGAGAAAAAGGAGAAGGAGCCCGCTAAAGAGAACAGGTTGGAAGGCGGTGCCGAAAGCACAGCAGGGCGGCTGGATGCAGTGGGAAGACCACGGGGCTGAGCAGTAGAAACCATGAACTCTGGGTCCAGCCCAGCCACCAGTGCGTTGCGGGCACTTGGACAACATCTCCACCCTCTGGCTCGGTTTCTCCTCTGTTCAATCCAGAAATTCGGCTACACAAGTTCTCAAGTCCTAAAAGGAAACAGCACAGATACGGAAAATTTTTAAATGTCAGCAATCAGTGCCCTGTCCTTTCCTATGGAATCTGAGGTCCTTTTGTGCTTGTTTCCCGTACTGACCAGGTAGTTGGGGAGAAGAGACGGTAAGAAATCTGTCTGACTGCTAGTTGTGGCTTTTTCTTGCTTGTTCACGGCTTTATCCATTTATGGTTTGATTCAACAAATGTAAAGCTCCTGTTCTGTCCAGGCACTGTGGGGCATACTCTTCATAAATGGCTCAGCCTTGCACCAAGCTCTCAGAGAGCTGACCCTTTTCAATATTGCCATCCTACCTCTCCCCACCATACTGTACCTCTAGCCACACTATTTCTCTTGTCCTTTTTCAAACTGCTTGGCTGTTTTTTGTCCCCAGAATATCTTTCTCTGTTGGATGAATTCTAACTCAATCCTCAAGATTCAGCCAAATGAG